AAAAAAAAAAAAAAAAAAAGAGAGAAAGGAAAAGAGAGAGAGAGAGAAAAGAGGGCATTTGGAGCAGAGCGATGGCACCACACCAGCAGCCCTAGCTTTCCCTAGATATGGCTCACTTTAATTATTAGGAAAAAGGTTGATTGGTCTCACAAGGACATAAAAACTTAGGCACTGGGGACCAGCAGGTGGTGTGGTGGTTAAGGTGCTGGACACTCCCACATAGCCAACCACGGTTCGAGTCCTGGACCTGGTGGCTTCCTTTGTCCCTTTCCCTCTCTCTCCCTCTGTGTGTGTGTGTGTGTGTGTGTGTGTGTCTGGTCAAATTAAAATAAATGAATGAATCAATAAAATTAAATAAATAATAATAAAAAAACAAAAGCAAGCAGACAAAAACTTAGGCACTGTCTGTGTAGATGGTCAGTGTCCGTGACGTAGTCGCCACTGCTGCACTTTTAAAATTTCATGTTCTCATAGTCACAGCCCCTGCTCATTCCAGCGCTGCACCTCACTCCCACACTTGCTTTCATTTCCCCGTTTGAGCCTCCCGGGGTCTCAGAAGCAAGTCCCCCCACCCCTGCAGCCCTCTTCGGGCACTTGGGGTGAGCTTGCCCCACTTGCTGCCAGTCTTCCCTCTGCTTCCCACCTTTCGGAAATTTCATGAAACCTCTCATCTGCTGGTGAGCCTTTCTTCCCTATTGTCCAGGGTTTGTACTTCTCTGCACACTGGCCACATCCACCATCCTGAGTGAGAAATGTCTTCAGAAACTTCATATTCATCCCACTGCGGCAATGAAGCAGCTTTGCAAACAGGTCAGTATTTTACCAGCCCAATAATTTCAGGAAGAAGAATTTTTTAAAATATCCCTAGAGTCCAGCCGCAGTGGCACAACGGTAATGCAACCTGACACCACATGGGAAGGTCCAGGTCTCCATCCCTAGGTCTTCCTGTGCATGCAGGCTCTCTCACACACACACACCTGTGACCCTGGCCCACTGAGGCTGGTGTGGATCACAGCATGGAAACCCTGCTGGGGTCCTGTCTCTCTCTTCCTCTAGCTCCCTTGAAGAAATAATGGATAAACTTTTTAAACACTCATACTTTTGGGACCAGCAGTTAGCATAATGGCTATGTCGCTGGACTCCCACGTAGTCAACCGCGGTTCGAGTCCTGGACCCGGTGGCTTAAACTCACGCTGGTTGCGTGTGCGTACATGCCCAAGATCCCGAGAGGAGAATGGAGGAGAAGGGATTGCAGCGTGGCCATCCCCCCGGGGGGTGATTTCTTGCTTTCTGTCTCTCTGTCTCTCTCTGTCTGTCTGGCGAGTGCACACACCATATAGCAAAAACCTCTCCAAATATCAAAAAGAAAAAAAAACTCATACTTTAAAAAATAAAAATCACCAGAATCTCTTTCCAAAATATCAAATCTGGATTCAATCCATTCACTGGGTCTATTTTCTCGAAGAATAACCAAAGCCCAAACCTGACCTAGCTCACAGCAGGACTGGAGGGCACTTGCCCAGCTGGGGTGGGGAGGTGCAGCAGAAGGGACACGGGCCTGAGCCTCTGGTCGGTGGGGCACTGCTTACCCTGGCGTCTGACAGCCATCGCCGGTGTGCACTTGGGGAGGCTGACGCAGCGGGCACAGGAGTTGGTGGCTGACGTGGCACAGTGCATGCCAGGCCGACATTCGCAGACACGGGAGCTGTTCCACGAGCATGGCGTCTTCTCCACGAGGTCATCTAAGGGACACAGAGAAGGGTCGTGGGGACAGATCAGGATGGAAAAAGGCAGGGGGTCCAGAGACACCCCCCCCTCCAAGGATGACCAAGAGGGGAAAACAACAAGAAAATAAATGCTTGTTTGACTATTTTGTTGGGACGACCTCCTGGCATGGTCAAAAAAAAAAAAAAAGAAAGAAAGACAGAAAGAAAACACTTAAAATGTTTAATTCCCAGAAATCACAAATTTAGGGTCTCTTAGAAAAATAGCATGAAAGAAAGAAAGAAAAAAATTATGCTGTGAGTGAAAGAAGGCAGACCGAAAAATGAATACAATCTATCTGTTCCTTTTATAGAAGACGCTAGAAAATGTAAGCTGCTCCCAGCGACAGGGAGCAAAGTGATACCTGGGAATGGGGTGAGGCGGGAATGGTAGTAGGGACCATGAGGAACTGGAGGAAAGTGCTGGTGATGACGGTCACACAGCTGCACACATGTCACAACTTACCAGACCGCACACTTGGAATAGGGGCATTTTGCTGTTTGTCAACTGTACCTTGACAACGATGCTAAAATAAAATCATCCAGAAAATGGGTGAATGGGCATGGGCATGGGCAAACCAAGACTGGTCATGACTTGATAACGGTGTAAAAGCATTTCTGAATATGCTCGAAATTTTCAATGAGAAAAAGTTGTTTTTCTGGGCCCAGCAGTTGGTGTAATGGCTATGTCGCTGGACTCCCATGTAGTTGACCACGGTTCGAGTCCTGGACACGGTGGGTTAAACTCACGCCGGGTACGTGTCCATGAGTGCCCAGGATGCCGAGAGGAGAATGGAGGAGAAGGGATTGCGGCATGGCCATCCCCCCTGGGGGGTGATTTCTCACTTTCTATTTCTCTGTCTCTCTCTGTCTTTCTAGCGAGCACACACACCTTATAGCAAAAACCTCTCCAAAAAAAAAAAAAATTGGGGGGGAGGGAGTTGTTTTTTTGTTTTGTTTTGTTTTTAAGAAAAAGCATAATAATGCATTTATATATTTGGGAATATTTTACATGCTCTGTTTATTCGTGAAGATGGAATTGTCACATCAGTAGTTTAGGTAAACGTGACTCGCTCAACATTTGTCAATCAGAAAGATACTCAGAGACCCAGTGGAATGAAAATAAGGGCCACGCAGTCTCTTCATGCACCCTCCAGAGAGAAAGGGAACTGGGGAGTATTTGGGGGACTCGGTCCAGAGCGCGTGAACGAGCTCACAGTGAGTGCAATGATGTGAGACAACAGCTATTATCTTTACTGTAATTGTGTGTGAGGTATTCTCAGCACTCCACCCAGATTAACCTTCAGCCATTTATTTAATGTTCACGACTCCTCTCTGAGATGGCTACTATTATTATCCCCATTTTACGACCAGGAAAACGGAGGCCCACAGACATTAAGAACCTTGTATGGGGACCAGCAGTTAGCGTAATGGCTATGTCGCTGGACTCCCATGAAGTCGACCATGGTTCGAGTTCCGGACCCAGTGGCTTAAAACTCACGCTGGGCGCGTGTGCGTGCGTGCCCAAGATCCCAAGAGGAGAATGGAGGAGAAGGGATTGCAGCGTGGCCATTCCCCCTGTGTGGGGGGTGATTTCTCACTTTCTGTCTCTCTGTCTCTCTCTGTCTGTCTGGTGAGCACACGCGCCCTATAGCAAAAAAAAAACAAAACAAAACAAAACAAAACAAAAAAAAACAACCTCTCCAAAAAAAGAACCTTGTATGAGTTCATAAGCTACCAAGTGTTAGAGCTGAGATTTGAACATGATACTTGAGCTCTAGAGCCCACGGTCTTAGTCATTCCACTCCACTCCACAGCCTCCTGGGGCTTCAGTCATGAAAGCTGAAAGCTGAGGGACTTCTTGAGCCCAGAGTCACCCCTTGTTCCTCCATCTGACATGCTGACAGTGGCAGATGGTACTTTTCTCAAAATGGCTACAACAATAGTTCTGGCCCCATCGGTTCTTCCAGAGCCTCACCACTCAGCCCTCAAGAAGTCAGCGGTGGGACCAGCAGATGGCATAATGGTTATATCACTGGACTCCCACGTGCTCAACTGCAGTTTGAGTCCCTGTCCCGGGTGGTTAAAGTTCATGCCTGGTGCGTGTGTGTGCGTGCCCAAGATTCTGAGAGAAGGGATTGTGGGTGATTTCTCACGCTCTTTCTTTCTGCCTCTCTCTCTGTCTCTCTGGCAAGTGCACAAGCCCTATGCAAAAAAAAAAAAAAAGACTCTAAAAAAGAAGCCAGCGGTTGCTCTCCCTTCCATCTCAGTGAGATGCATGATGGCCTCAACAGAGAGAAGGTGGTGGCAGTCACAAGTGACTTCCAAGGCTGGGTCATAATGGTGTGGCTTCTGCCTCTCTCTCTCACTGTCTCTCTGCCTCTCAGCATATTCCTCTTTAGAGCACAGCTGCCCGGCTGTGAGAAAGCCCAGAGTAAGCCACACGGAAGCCAGAGACCAGGTGCTGAGGCCCCAGCCAGCACCCAACATTGGCCCCAGCCATGTGACTGAGCAGGCCTCCCGGTGTTACCAGCCGTCAGCCTTTGGGTTTCCCAGCTAAGACACTGACGCTGCAGAGCAGACACAAGCAGAGACAAGTGTCCATGAGGTGCCCCGTCTGAATCCTGCCTCACAGAACACAAGTACCATAGATAGTTTGTTTTTATCACTCAATCTTGAGAAGAGTCGCTATGCAGCCTTAGGAACTGGGACAGAGACCGCAATGGCAACAACTGGAATGCCCGTCCCTCCATGTGACGCTCCGTCCACACTGCTGCTGAAGGACCCCGGAATGTGGGGACAGCATTGCACCGTCCTAGTCCTCGGGGGGTGGGGGTAGGAGGGGGTGGGG